AGCAATTAAATGTGCTGACAATTAATGCATTAAAATATAGGGCCACCTCTTTAAGAGAGAGGCTAAGTTGCATCAGCAGCAACATTTCAAATGAAACTTAAGGAGACACTTCAGAGAAACACCCGAACTGGCAAGGGGAGAGATGTAGCTCATCCCTGCAATGGTGCAGGAACCAAAAGGAAGCTAGTACGTAAGGGGAAAAAAAAAAAAAAAAGAAACAAAACCCAAGCTATCTGACTGAACAGGCAGTCCTCATGCTTTATTTTTGTTTCATAGGCAACAGATGTTTTATGCAATACTCATATGACCATTGGAACAGTCTATCTTCTGATCAATCACTGTATACTTGTTAAATAGTTCTATCCTTTCCGTTTGCTTCAAGTAAAACAAACACGGAGACCACAGATGATTATGTGACTCTTAAGATATCTAGAAGCAAGGTTTTCCAAAGGAAAATTTGTGATGAGTCAGACACCTAAATAACAGCAAGATGAACAACTTTGAGACACACTCAAACTCTGAATGGGTTTAACTTTTTCAGAATCTAGCCACTTATGCCAGTGTCTACACGTGGCCCAAATTCTTCTACTAATGTGGTCCAGACTATGTATGCTAAATTCCACTGAGATCCAGTCCTTGGTACGCATCTTCCCACACCACTGAAAAGAATAGATTTGAAGCAAGAAAAAAAATCGACCCAAGTCCTTAACATAAGAAAGTGCAGAGTGAAAAAAACTTGGCCAAATTCTTTTTCTATTTATGTTTGAGGTCTAAATCTGCTCAGCATCTTTATACAAACAGCCAAAGAGAATCAATTGAGATTCTTCAAATGGCTGGTCTTCACTCGTGTGACATGACATGAGGTTCTCTTGATCCGTAAAGTGACAGTTTTGGTCATAATGGTGAACACAATCACCAATAATCACGATGGCCTGTTTCATGCTAAGATGAAGAGGGAAGAAGGTTTGAACATGGGCACTCAAAACTTTTTGGGGTGTTTTTTCCAAGAGCAGATGTTTGTAGGAAGCCTGTATTACGTCAAACTGCTGTACTGTTTTGACAGGACACAAAATGTCCCTATAGTAACACTACATGGGCAGCTGTCATATACATCCAGCATTATCTTTCAGTACAGTTATGGATATACACAGCATTTGTATTACTGCCAATTAATCAGTCATTGTCACTATCTGGTTATCAAACAAACAATCTGGGAAATCTGAACCATTCACACTCCCAATGATGCAGATTCCTCTCAATTACTCAGATTAGGCAATCGGATCCTAACTCTTAGAAAGCACTCAGGGATTCTTTTCTCCTCAGAAAAGAAACGCCCAGATACCATTCTATACTGAATTTGCTCAGGCTTCTGGAAACATCTGTTTCATACTAGGTATGCCTGAGATGACTGGCACTGGAATTATCATTTCAGTTTACTTTGTGTAAAACTTGTTGCATGGTATCTATGCTTACAGCTTTGAATGTTCATCTTCAAGATGGAGGACTTAATTCCCTCATCTGCTGAACCATATAGGAAAACATGATGTTCGTATAAGGCGTATAGTGGTACTTCCAATTCATTAGCCTTATTCCGCAAAACACAGTGACAAGGCTATGCTCAGTTTTATTTTCATTCATTTGAAACAGAATCACCGTGCTGCATCACTCTTGAAGACCAAGACCATATGAAATTTACAGGGGAAAAATCCATACAAGAAACCGAAAGGATTTGATTGCAACAAGGGTGTATTTTAAAATTACACTTCACGCGATGTCTGGGACTGAACTTTCTCATTAACAGAGGAAAGCTAAAAACTGTTTTTCAAACGGCATTTATGTCATTAAATCTGGGTATGAGTGAACATGCAGGGCTGATAGATGGCTCTTTATCAGAGGACAGGTTCAAGCATGCATCGTGTTAGCTCCACCTTCTCCAACACGGCCCCCTCCGCCTACTCCTTTCCCGACATCTAACAATGTGAGTTTTAGTTTCCATTCTTATTGAGTCTGTGGATAGTGGAAATAAAGGCAATCACGTATGGCTAATTGTGGCGGATATCAGATGACAGAATCTGTATTCTCCAGTGGGGTCTGGGAGGCAGGGAGAGGAACAGAGGGCTTCAGATTACGAGCCCGCCAGTGGGAATCAACAGGGCATTTCAAAACGAGAGATTACATTGTCGCTGACAAAGGGCATCTTTGCCACGGGAAAAACAATCAGGTGTTAGCTGTTCTCCTATAAATACAGTGTGCATTTCACTTCCAAAAAGAAATTTAAATTTTGACAACCAAGGATAAAAAAGTACTTCCTGTTGATCTCACAGTACGCTACCAAAGCTGTGCCCGGACTTAAAATTCTCTAATGAAATAACAAAGACATGTTCATCGCTATACAAACAAACAGGAAAAATTCCTTGGCTTTGTCCTCAATAAGATAACGTTGTGTACCAAATTCTGCTGGGAGCAACAAACTGAGTATTGTGTCAGGTTCTTTGATCTCCCTTGAAAACTACTGCTTTTAGTATACAAAGCCGGAAAGATGAGTGATAGGGAGGACAGAAAGAGAAGGTAGGTACATTTCTGACCTTCAACTGTCTGATGACCAGAGGACCGAGGGTTTGGAAGGAACACTATGGTTACACGTCATGTAGGGGAGTGGCTGAAGTAAGAGAAGTTCCTCCTTGAAAGAGAATGCAATGGCTGCACATTCACTCATACCATTTAAAGGTGGGTTTGGACCAGTTACTTATGACAAACATCATGTCATCGCCAAGAAAAATCCACATTTGAACAGAGTTTGGAAGGCACAATCCTTCTAGACTAGCAGCTACACTAGATGCAGCTCCACTCACGTGAGCGAGAGTCCATTCTGAGTACTGCATCATAAAACCTTTCTCAAAGCACATCCAGCCTACCTGACTCTTTCAAATGGCACCAGAAATTAGAGGCGTGCCCAATTTCTATTAGACAGGTTGCGCTGATAGGTAAAAATCACTGTTAAGATGTGAAGAAAGACAACTGTACTTTTTTCCCAGCATACACATACTCTTAGAGATCAAGTTTGAAAGATCTGAAGGAGCCTACAGGCTTAGTAATTTGAACCTCTTCCACCGACTGGCTGCCAAACTCTCCCGTTAATTCCAGACTAAATAACACGTAGCAGAACGACATAGGTGAATTTGGTCAATACTTTCTTTTTAACATTCTCCTTTGCACAGACAAAAGTGGCCTTTGAGTTTTTCAAATTTTCCACAACCCAAACTCATCTGAAGATATTTATGAAGTCAGTCACATCTGCACGAAGCCCACCTTTTTAAGGAAACTGTCATTGTGATAAAGCCTACTGTAATCAGAATACTTCAGCCCACCACATGCAGCCCCAAGCTGGTCCTGAAATGAAAGTAACCCATCCTCCCAACTTACTGGGGCACTGATGCATTATTTTAAGACTCGCTTGGATGACCACAAAAATAAGGAGAATTAGACGCAGACCTCTACTTTCTCATTGCTAGTTAGCTCCATTTTTGGTTTTTCTTTTCTTTGCCTATTTCTTCCGTATGTGTGTTCATGTGTGTTTGGTTATTATAAGCACTTGATCAATACTGACGTTACTCCTCAAAATGCATTTCAGAGGGATGACTTTTATGGCTCCCATGATTCTTAAGCCGCCTACGGTATTTGTAACTCACAGAATCAGAAACTAACACGCAGACAGTGTAGCTTTTCATACAAAGGCACAATAGGAATGAATGTATTAACCTCTGTGGTGCACGGAATGTGTCAGCTTACACACTGGCAGCTATTTCTGTGAAACTCAGCTAACTTCCGCTGGCTGTGTTAAAATAAAAAAAATAAAATAAATCTTCCCCAGAACTATGTCCCACGCTCTCATATGCTGGCCAAAGAACTGAAATATCTGATGCTGCAGAGAGTCTACTTCACACTGACGCTGGCCAAACTGAGTTTGAGAATGCATTTTACATCTACTGTTTATAAATGCTGAGCCTTTCCAAGCAGGTATAAAGCTCTGCTGTTCCATGTGACTTGGCAAATAATAATGAGCAGGGAGACGAATTAGCAACGGAGAGGACAGGATATTTTTTTGTTTGGTTCTACAAAAGAGCGTCAATCTGGATTTTGCACAACTAGAGGCGATTATGGAGATCGATTTCATTTTAGTCCCAGATTTCCCCCAGCTTCATCCCAACAGCAAAGCGGACATGGTGTGTAACAAAGTCCAAACTGTGGAGATGGGCATCACGTTTTTCTTCATTCCAATGATTTGACAAGGGTTGTGGGGCTGGTCAGGAATACCTGAGGAACATCTGCACCGCTGTCATTTAAGACCCACGGACACCTCCTCCAAAATTTAGAATGATATTGGGAGTTTTGAATCAGATACATCCGGCTACCAGGCCAACACTTTAATGTAACTCAAAAAAAAATTCTTTAGTGTCTTTCCACCTGTTTTCTAATTGCCTGTGTTAAATGACAGTAATCACTAATTATCTGCACTAGGGCGGTGCCTGAAATGTGTTGGGTACCATCAAACACTGTCGGAGGGGCCAGCCATCGCTCGGAAGAGCTTACAGCCTAAAAGGCCGTAATCACGTTAAGCGACTTTTAAGCAGTTTAAAAGTGCTTGTCGGGTCAGAGCTTTTCCTTCCGCCAGGTTACACCTTCCCAGCCTGGAGAAGAGAAGCCAACGCACTGCTCTGCGGAAATTTAAACGCACAAACCTGAAAGTAATTAAAAACTGACAATAAAGGCAGGCAAACCTCCCAAAAATTTCCCCCGCGGTACGAGGCAGATGTACACGATTCGACCATTATTTTGCTTCAGACGCGACTTTGAGGGGAAGAGACCAGCCCCACACCACAAACCCACCCCACACACACTCCCCCACCACCTCCGTTAATTGCATTGTGTTCAAATGGAAGAGAAAACTGGGTTTGGTATTTACTTAACCTTTGCCTCTTGGGCATTGTTTTGGGACTTACCTGCAGTTGGAGTGGGCCTAAGCCTGGTGTTGCTGCGGCAGCAGCTGCCATGGTAGTTGGGATCAGCTGAACGGGGTAGGGGTCACCTAAGTAAGAGAATAATAGAGGCGTCAGCACCTTTTATCTACTCTCCACCTGCAAATTAAAGTCCTGCATTCACTCTTTCCAAAAGCCTTCTTTTGTGTGCCTTGTTGAGGCCTAATGAAAAGCTCTATTGTGCAGCCTTTTACTAACACTCTTTTCACAATTCTGGCTGAGAGAGGAATGTGAATAAAAGGCACAAGCAATTAAGGCGGAAACCTCATCCTTTTTCATGATGTATTTAGGGAAATGGAAAAAAAAAAAAAAAGTGCACATTGATCAGAAGGCTGCACTTCAAAAAAAAAAAAGGAAAAAAAAAAAAAAGGAAAGAAAGAAGATGGGGGTGGAGGAGAAGAAAAGGAAAACAGTACAACCTTGATAAGATCACAGCATTAGAAGGGGACAAATTTACAAGCTTGTCCAGAATATGAAGTTAACCAAACTCTGCTCACTGTTAGTAAACTGAGCCATACAGACCACAAATGGCAACCCCTTGACTACTGAGTTTGCTTGTAGGGGAGAGAAAAAAAAGTCTTGCTTTAGTTTCAGGGTTTGATCCCACAACAGGATAAAGCACATGAAGTTAAGTAAATCAGATACAAGCCTCCAAAAGCCTTGCCCCAGCTCCACTTCATGACTTGTGATTCAATTTTGCTTCCGAGGGAAAATTAGTTCAGTGTTAGTAAGAATTGTGTTGTGCTGAATGACATAAAGGGACCCAGTAAAGGTTTAAGAAAAAATCACAGGCATTTATAAAGGAAAATCATCTGAAATCGCAAAAATTAAGATGGAGACAGGCATGTTTTAATGTTACGGAGCGCTCGCTTCTTATATATCTGATTTGTTACAATATACTTCATACTAGCCCATAAACAAAACTGTGAATGAAATTGGTAAAAATAATAAAAAATGTTATGTAAAAATAATAAAAAAGTGTTACATTGCTTCTCCAAATGATAAAATGTTTGATCACTTTCCACTCAAATAAGGATCACCAGAGAATTTCTGTGTGTCCCTGTGTTCTGGTCGTGCGCATGATTTCTGTAGCATTTAAAAAGCTGCTTGAAATGAGACTACGGAAAGAGGCAGAACACACTATCAGGAAAAGCTACCTAAATGTTCCTGTACATTTCATTACAGGCATAGATTAAAAGTTTTCCTCCTTTGTTGTGCTCTTTTGAGTGAACTGGGGAAAAAGAAAAAGAAGAAGGTGGCAATGCAGGCTGTTCTATTAGTTGTTATTGAATTAAAGTTTATGGTGGTATCAAGCCTAAGTTACAGGAAACAGAAAACAAAGGGAAAGAAATTTATCTCATGCTTTTGAAATGTTAGAAATAAGCTGTGTTGGTGTACACATGTTCAGGAAAACTGCTGATGTTTATTTTTCCCTTTTAAAATGCAGCCTTCTTTACAGAGATCTTTTCACTCAAGCACTTTCCTGTCCTGCTAAGAATTATATACCATAACTTCTAGAAATGGAGGGCCAGAAGAAAACTGGGCTAGCAAAGCATCTTAACAGATATTTAACGTCAATAAACGTGCATCTTAAATAATGCTTTGCTGATGGAAGCCTCACAGTCTTTCAAAGCCGGGTAGCCAAGCAATGGGAATCCACCCAGGCATCCCCATTCACAAATGTCTTTGCACCAGCACCAGGCTACAATTTCCCAATTTATCTCTTTATTGTCAACGGGCAACAGATTTCTCGACTTGCTTGGATTTTATTTCCCCCAGAGGATGCCATTGTTTCACATTTCCCTGTTTTCTTTTGCCTTAACTGAGGCATCCACTTTCTGTTTCTGAATGAAACATTTCTCTGACTTGGAATTTTCTCGGAGTTGTCTCCTGACCCAAGCAATGGGCCTTACACACTCGAAGACACAGAGAAGAAAGAGACGGTGGTTGAAGACTCAGGGTCAATGGTGTGTAGCTGCTTCCACACCACTAGCTGCTCAAAGGCTAATCCCAGTACCATTCTAAAAGAGACCTCTCTAGAAGAGGACATTTTGTTCCAGAACCAGCTATGAGAGAACATAAAATTATTAACTTCTCAACTGCAAAGAAAAGAACAAGCAAAAAGTTCCTCACTATAATGTTGATTTTGCAGCCCATTAAAATTTTTAGTTACATATCATTTGTATTAAAACATGCACATTAGTGTATATAGTGTAGACAATGCATATTCCATGCACTGTCCCACACTCCTCTCCACCCATATGTGTAAGCCCCAGCCCATCTTCCCACAACCTCACGCTAATTCATAAATCCCACTATTCTCACCTCCCTAAAGAGCCAAGCAGATTCTCATACCCTCGTCTGTTGTGGTAATTCCTATCTTTCATGGTTCATTTGGTAGCTATATCAAGGAGATGCGTCTGAGAAGAACATGCTTAAGTCCCCATGGCTGCGTGCATGGTGACAACCAGTGGCTTTGGCAGTGTAGGTAATGTCTCTGGGACTCTTAAGAGTAGAAAGCAACTACTACATAAATACATGCTACCTTAGGTTTTCAGAATTCTAAGGAAAAAACTCAAATTCATCCTAAAACAAGATTATAGCTGTGCAGAGCTTTGCTCTCCTGTTTACCAAGTTGGTTTTTTGCTAGTTCACTCTTTAAAGGGTTTTAGGTTTTTCCAGCGCTCCAAAATATTTTTAAGAAACAAAACCAACCAACAAATCTGAAAGGCTTCTGTAACCTATTATGAATCTGTGCATCGTTATGCTTTAGTCACACCCTCTGGTAATCTTTTGCTTATGGATTCTTTTTATGAAGAAAAGTACATCCTGCCCGTGCTGCAATTCTTTCACAAGTTCTGCTCATACATAGTCCATCCAGATTACTCCTCCGCGGTACAGACACGGCAGCAGTGAGGAAGTTGGAGGAAGGTACAAGAAGAAGCAGAGACACCATTTGGGTTTGCCCTGGTACAAATGTCTAACCAAAGATCACCTCTGTCTGGAGGAGCTTAACTGTCCGCAGGAGACAAAACACAAAAGAGGGAGAAATATGCTCAAAACGCCGTGCCGTGCCCTAGGTCACACAACAAGGCCAGTGGAAGAGCCAAGAATAAAACCCACAGACAACTCTTCCGACAGCACCCTTCTCAGGAAAGGATCCAAGCCCTATCTCCACGAGGAGGCCAAGCATTATATACTCACTTCACACAGCGCAGGAGCAGCTGCCACCTCTCAAAATACTAAAAAGGCCTCAAGTCCCCTCTGATGAACATGGATCTGCTCACTCTTTGCTGTTACTCTAGAACCCGGCACTTTTTTCTACTCTCCATAAGTTTATTCCCCAACCGAACTGAAGGTTTTGCCTGAGCAGTTAATTCTGAAGTCTGGGAAATTCATGTCTTAACTATTTCATTACTTATTCAGTAAATATCTTATTTTTAGATGTAAAATGTTGCCACATTTTTTTCCCAAGCTCTGGGAACATTTCAGGAATGTGAGGCAAGATACACAGTTATTAGAAATAGATATTTCCCAAGCCATTCATGACAAATTCTCAAACAACTATATTACATTTCAATTCACAAAATTCAGTATTAACCTACTAATGCACGCAGGTAAAACTGTACCTCCATGCATCTTTCAGTTACCAAAAGAAACATTTTGTGCATTCCTTCCATGTTCCAAACTGTCTCATACTATGAGTGGACTTTTCTTATAAACAAAGTACCAGAGAGAAGTTCTGTTGTTGTTTTTTAGTACATTATATGGTAAAATCTGGAGCAGGTCAACGGCTGGAATTTTTAATTGTAAGAACAAGGTAAAAATTGTTTCCTTAGCTGGTGTATTCTTCTCTAATATAGAATTATTTCTCAGCTACCTGGTGACATCGCTCTGAAGAACAGAATTATCCAAGACTGACTACATGAGGAAAGCACAGAAGGAAGGATATACTGGTGATACAGGGATATACTGGTGACACAGCACCCAAAGAAGTGAACGGGGTATGTCAGCCCTGGGGGAGCTGACGGGGTGTATTAGGGCTGTCGGTGCCCGCTGTGAGCAAAGGAGAACACCCGTGGCTCAGGGAAGAGAGAAGGCAATGCTGAACCCTCAATTCTGTGCCAATTCTTTACTTCTCTATCCTTCTTTTGGTCCGTCTTCCACAAACATACCCAGAACCTCGTTCCTGATAATTTATTCACTGCAACTTCTTTCAATTTCAAATCACACCTTCATGCTTGCCCAAAATAATCTTCCAAGATCTTGCTTACAAGAGGATTTTTCATGAAGTACATTCACTTTTAAACCACTCTTTCTATGAACTCTCCCAAGCGTCCTCCACCAAAAACATTTTTCTGCGAAAGTAAGTAGTGGTCCACAGCCAAGTGGACATCCTGTCCCAAAATGTAAAATAACAACCCTGTGTTCAGGAACTTGATTTTTTCAACTGACTAGCTACCAGGCTCATGGATATTAAATGATTGTATACTTGTGAAAATACAGCAGTGCTCTTAAACCATTGACATGTTTTGCAAAATTTTATCAGAGGAGTTTAGCAAGTTAAAAAACATTAAGACTTTTTTTTTTTTAAAGAGAAAAGCAAGCATAGGAGTTAACATTATGTGTGTTGCACCATTCACCTAGACTCATAAGATGGTTTTTGTATTCCTTTTTCTGTCACTCATCTCATTTATTCTCCTTCATGGTGTAATCCCCCCTAGTGTCTTGTCTTGTCTCCTGACAGGCTGCAAGCTCTTCAGAGCAGGCACAATTGTCTTACTTGCTATATAAATCAAGTTACATGCTAATGTTAAATTATAATGTTTTGACAGGATTTTTAAGTTGAACCTGATTATATGAAACAATAGAACTCTCTGATTTTTTTTTTCCTGAAATTTTCTTCTTTAAAAAAAAGGATACCAGAAGAGAAGAAGTAGGGGGTTCACTTCCTACGATTTTTAAAAATGTATTGTTTTCCTCCTACCCGTCTTTCAGGGAGACCAAGTGAAAAAAGTTGGAGGTCATGAAAGGAGAAGCATAAAAGCAA